CTAAGAGCCCGTTTGGTACCAATTAAAATTCAATTAAAAATGATAATGTAGTCGTTATTGGACTCCACTCGTCTAATAAAAGTCAACAATAACGATTAATTTTTCAATTTTAATCCGATTTTAATCTCCATCAAACACACTCTATGGAATTGTGACATTAATGTATTTAATTACTAAAATATATAATTAATTAAGTTAATTATAAATAAAATTAAAAAAACTCTGAGCCCCTATTTGATACACATTAAAATTTTCATTCTCATTCTTTTACTAATTTTCTACCACACATTTTTCAATAAAATAATATTTTCTATCATATCAATAACTTTTCCTTCTTTTTCAACCACACATTCTCCATCAATCTACCATTCCAAAATTCATTCTTCCAAAATAATGTAGCTCAAACACACCCTAAAATTTGAAATTTTAAACTTAATATCTTAAATTTGAAATTAGTAAAACTAAACTTCTTAATAACCTACACATCATTCAATCGGGATTATTGGTTGCCGAAGGATCTAGAAGAGAAGGAAGCCAATCAGTAGCAATCCAAACATAACCAATGTTCATCATTCCGAGACTCTTAGCTGATGAAAAAATTGTAAGGCCAGAATCAAGATTTACATGTACCACAAAAACACGCGATTCCATCAAGTTTACTTCAACCAATAGCCTGTTAATGTCACTTATTGAAGTTCCAGGAGCAAATGCAGCTTTGTAAGAAATCTTAGCACGGTTCTTAGTAAGTGCATCATCCAAAACTGAAATCATATTTTTACCATAATCATCGTCAACAAAGATGACAACTACTCTCCATCCAAAATACTGCACCAAATCAGCAATTGCATACATTGAAAATGATCACTTATCGTTGTACGGAGGAAGTACGGGTACTGCAGAGAAGAAAGGGTTGGATCTGTAGCCCCAAATGAGAAAAGTGGCACCTAAAGTTCATTCACGACATGTGAAATAACATGGGCTATCCCAGAGGATTGTGGAACAATTGCAGCGACGGCCGATCGATTCAATATTGACAACAACCCATTTTTTTCCATCTGTATTTTCGTCATGGCTGCACCTACGATCGTGGGTGAGAGATAGAGAGAGGTGAGAGAAGAGTAAGAGGTTTAGTCGTTTAGAGAAAGAAATATAATTAGGGTTTGAAATTGAAAGTGTAGGATAGATTATTAATAATATT